GGTAATTTAAAGGGGGTTACATCTGCTTTTTTTCACACACACTCACACATACAGATTTAATTGATTTATTTCATAAATTGCAGTGACTGCTCTAAAATATGAAACACCAATGTTTCAGGAGTTTAGAACAAGCTTATTCGATAACTCTTTTATTTCCTATATGGGTTTATTTATAGCTATGCTTAATGTTTTAAAGATTAACTGTTTTTTTCCAAGGCATTGTTAGATTCCAGTGTTTACTGTCATAGCTATGTAAAGATTTGATTCCAAAAACAGTATCATAGCTATTAAAATATTTCTTGTTATGATTTTAAATATGTATTTAAGCTCAGAATGATCTCAAAGTAAGTCTGACTTTGTGGTGGCTGTGCTTCAAAGGGGACATTGATCTTCCACAACTTGGTATGATTCTTTAGGGCTGTAATTAAATTACAGTTACTTATGAAAATGTTAAGGATTACAAACGGGGTTACATCTGCTTTTTTCACACACACTCCCACATACAGATTTAATTGATTTCTTTCATAAATTGCTGTGACTTCTCTAAAACACGAAACAACAATGTTTCAGGAGTTTAGAACAAGCTCATTCGAGAACTCGAATAAATTAAATCTTCAACTTAAATCTTTTTTTTTAAAGATTAACTGTTTTTTTCCAAGGCATTGTTAGATTCCAGTGTTTACTGTCATAGCTATGTAAAGATTTGATTCCAAAAACAGTATCATAGCTATTAAAATATTTCTTGTTATGATTTTAAATATGTATTTAAGCTCAGAATGATCTCAAAGTAAGTCTGACTTTGTGGTGGCTGTGCTTCAAAGGGGACATTGATCTTCCACAACTTGGTATGATTCTTTAGGGCCTTCATGAACGGTCTGCAACAAACTTTGGTTAAAATTCCTCAGCGGTCGTGTAAAACAACACCCTTTTTACCTTGCTCTGTTCACAGCGACTCATTTTGGGGCATGTCCCTTTAAATGCTAATGAGCTCTGCTCACCCGCCCCTTTCTTCTGTGGAAGAGCAAAGGCGATTTGCAAATAATCATAAAAAATATAAAGTGTCAGACTTACTTCTTCTGGAGGTGCAGCTGGATCACGAACAATGGGTACTGATCTATCTTTGAGTTTGAACTTTTTAACAAAACCTGCCTTGAATTGTAGTCTGGAGTAAAATTATTTGCGCAGACATAAATTAATTTAGGTGTATACAGTGGCGCATTACCATTAAAAACAAAACTAATGCACTGCGTCCTCAGTGGCTCTGATGATGGGAGAAAATTAAGATTCTTATGTTCTTCTACATCACAAAACTACAAAACACCTGCATTGCTTACAAGACATTGTCGCTACAGCTGCTGGAGCGTGGAGAAAACGATGGACTTCATACAACATGCTAAGAATGGACAGTACGTCAGCGGTTGTGGGCGGGGCCTGGACAATATGACATCATACTGCTCAGAAAATCAAAACGGCTTGATAATTGAGACGGTTTAGGATTTTGGGGGATTAAAAAAGGGAGAGAATGGATTTTTATCATTGTAGAGTGGTTGTGTCCACACACTGCTAAGATACATTTATATGCAAACACCACGTAAAAGTGAATTATGCATCCAATGTCTACTTTAAAACTGAAGTATAATCTTAATTCAAGTGATGAAGGATTTCGAAAGTCTGACAGTTATCAGTGTTGAGCACATACTGTAAGGTTAACCCCTGCCTGGTTTACATGTTTGAAAAGGATAAACAGTTGAAAACATTAGAGATTTAGAAAAGTAATCAAAAAGTAATCAGCTACGTTACTTCAATAAAGTAATTGAAAAGTTACACTACTTATTACATTTTAAGTAGGGTAACTTGTAATCTGTAACCTATTACATTTCCAAAGTAACCTTCCCAACACTGCTCACGCGTAGAAATAATTTTGAGGGCCGCTGTTCCGTCTCTAGCTGTTTGTTGTCATCAAAGAGCAATGCGCCTCCAGAGCGATTGGGGCCGCTAGTACACTTGAGCCGTTCACTGTTCCAGCCGATAGTGAGGAAGACTACTGCGGACGGCAAGTAGAAGCGAGTAGAAGAGATAAACAAACATGTACATTTATACAGAAGACATTTACTTAATCAAAATTAATTCTTTCCTCATCCTATAAATTTTCTTCGAATTTTTCGTAGCGCCGTCACTTTCTAGAGCGTCCGGTGAAAGAAATTAATCAGTCTTCTTTCGAGCCAAACGAAGTTGTCTTGCTATAAGAAGAACGATGGGTGGGAAAATGGCGTGAAACGATGAGCTTTACTGCATTCTTCATCTGACTGCTGTCAGAGGTAATTTACACTCTTATTGTGCAATTTATGATAAACGATATCTGTTAAGTATTTGCTTCCATTTGACTCATGTAGTGTAATAAATGTGTTTGTCACGTGTAGGTTGGTACGTACTTCTGAATTTAAAGTCATTTTGGCAATTTGTCTTTAACATCATATTTGAACTAGTCATAATGCTTAAGATCTTTCTTAAACTGGACAACTATAAACGTGTTTTCCATTTTAGAATGAATGTTGTATACCTTACAAATAAATACATAATTCATCTAATCCATGGCTTCCCCCTCTTTCTGTAGACAGGTGTCTGTGATCATCCCTAAAGCCAAAGGGAGTCTGTCAGGACTGTGATTCATTTGCTCATAAGTTCACTTGAATTAGACGTCTAAAGTCATGGCTTGGGCTCTGAAACTACCTCTGGCCGATGAGGTGATTGAGTCTGGTCTGGTCCAGGACTTTGATGCCAGTCTGTCAGGGATCGGGCAAGAGCTTGGAGCTGGTGCTTACAGCATGAGGTGAGCATTTGTACTAACTTAATCTTTTTTTCTTTTTTAAGGGATGTTTAGATCAGTGTTTCCCAACCTTTTTTTAGTCGCGGCACCCTTTGGAAATTTTAACAAATTTGTGGCACCCTACAAAATTAATTTTGTCACAATATTTGAATTTCTAACTTCGATATGATACTTTGAAAAGTATCGATATTCGGTACTGCAGGGAAAAACTGCAGAATGTGTCATATATATATATATGACACATTCTGACACACATATAATATCTGTGTGTAATATCTGACACACATATACATATATATATATATATATATGTATATGTGTGT